GGTCCTGAGTTCCTTGCTCGTGCTCGCTCTCCTTCTGCTCCTGATTTGGACCTTGAGATTTCAGTCCGGTGCTCCAATGTGGGTCTCTGTCTCTGTCTCCTTTCATCGCCTGATGAAGGTTAATATTCAGGAGGGTGCCTATATGTTTTTCTTTGGGTTCTCCTTATTTAGCTTCTCTAGGATCACTAATTATAGGCTCAATAAGACATTTCTTTATTCAGTGAATTGGATGGGTGTAGATACTTTTAACTTAGGAATTCACCTCCTTCACTTGTAGAATTTTCTCTTTCATCCTGCTCCATTCACTTTCATTCTCTCTCTCTCTCTCTCTCTCTCTCTCTCTCTCTCTCTCTCTCTCTCTCTCTCTCTCTCTCTCTCCCTACCTATCCCAATCTTCTTTTTTTCTCAACTTAATATATTTATTGATTATTTGGGAATGTCACATAATGCATCCCAATCCCACCTATACCCCATCCTTGTAACCTCCCCCCCCAAAAAAGAAAAAATATATACCAAGTTCAGTTTGGTCACAACTACACAGTGACCAGCCCCTTAACAGAAAGCTGAGTCCTTCCCATCCCATCCCTTTGCTCTTAATTTTTCCCTTTTCATCTCACTTTCTGTCTTTCTACTTTAAGAAAAAGAGAGAGATTATGGTATAATTATATCATTTCCCCTTCCCATTCCTCCTAACTCTCCCGTGTATATCCCCTGCTTTCTTTCAAATTCGTGTCCCCTTTTCTTTAGTGGTGGTAGTGGTGGTGTTTGTGTATTCCTAAATACATAGTTACAGCCTGCTCAGTCCATATAACATCAGTTGTATATGCGTGCTTTTGGGGCTGTCTGTTTAGTACTGGATAACTAATCAGTGCTCTTCCCTAGGTAAGACTATTTCTCCTGCTCTCAACTTTTCCTTCATTGCCTGTAGTTCTTTGTCTAGGGTTGGGATCTTATGACCTTCCCGCTTCCACTTTCTCATGTCAAAAACACCAATTTTGGTGTTGACCTTTTTCTGGCCATGTTTAGGAAGCCATGTTGGTGAGATTTCATTCATGGGTAATAGATTCTGACATTTCTAGGAGACATAGTCTCACAACAAGCTCTCTGTTCCTCTGGCCTGTACAGTTTCCCCACCAACTCTTCGATGATGATCTCTGAGCCTTAGGTGCAGAAGCTGCACTGTGGATGTATCAGTGAGCTTCACAACTTGGCATTTTGATCAGTTGTGGTTTTCTGTAATGGTCTCCATCTGTTACAAAGAGAGGTTTCCGTTATGGGGGTAGAAACTTTACTTATCTGTGAGTGTGAGGACTAATATTTAGAAGGTAGTTAGGGATTATGCTGGATAATAATGTGGAGGTTGCAGGTTCTCTTTCTAGGTCCATGACTTCACCAGCTCTGTATAGCTGACTAGGTTTCCAGTACTAGGCACAATTTCCCTGTTTGCGGGTCTTAACTACAATTAGAAAGCTGTTGGTTACTGCTAAGATACATTTGCAACTATTGCACCCTTTGTGTGTAGGAATCACAGCTGCATGACTCCATATCTGTCTTTTACTTAGCTGCTGGAAATCTGAACTCAGTTCTTCACGTTTGTGTGGCAGGCAGTTTACCCACTGAGCTCTCTCCCTAGCTCACATACAGCACTTTTTAGGACTGACAGCTGAAGTGTTGTAGAACTCAACAGTTTGTATTTAGACATTCCCCTGCTTCCTTTCTCTAGTGCCAGATCAGTGTTTGAACCCCAGCTCTGCTATTATCTCCCTCCAATTAATTTTGTCTTGATTTTTTTTTTTTTACTTCTAACCGCCTTATTGTCATTCTGGTAGGATTTTTAAGAATCCATGGAGGTATTATATTTGTTTTATTCAGGCAGAAAGCCATGTAATTGTTATTTTCATTATCAGTAACTGAACTTCATCCAGTGAATTTACTCTCCTTGATCTGCCTGTTGTTTGACGTGTGCATTACTTCTAGTTACTTCCTGTTGTAAACATGCAAAAACATCCTTAGTATTGGTAGGTGTTTTTTTTAACATATTGATTTTTTTCTAAAATAAGAATACAGTAGAAATGCTTGAACAGATCTTCTTTTCTAAAAATTAATATACCAGGCTGGGTTTGTAACTTAGTTGTAGATTGCGTGTCTACTATAGTAAGACTCTGGCTCAGTCCTCAGCACCTCTGAAACAAGCAAACCAATGTTGAGTGCTAGTATTCATCTAGCTTTTTATATTTATTGTATCCATGCTGGTGTCAGCGTAGAAGCCTCCTCTCCAAGCTACAGAAAGAAGTTCAAAGACAATATTATTAGATCTTAGGAGAAAAAAAATAAGAGCAAGCAATCTGTAAATCTTGGCCACTGTTGAGGCACATGGAAAAGAGAGAAAGCCATGCCTTGTGAGCTGGGATCAGGGAAAGGGGTGTGTTCAGTGGTAGAGCTTTGCAAGCAGCTGAATGGCAAAGAGGAGACGGAACTTCCAGAGAGTAAAAAAGACTAGATTGTCAGGGAAAGCATGCCTAAGATTTTGGTATCCAAAAGAAAATGATAGAAAAATTAAAGTTCTATTTTCTGAGTTAGAACTCAGAAAGCAGGCAGGCTCAGCAGTGCTTCCATATGGAAAGCCCCATCCACAGTAGCCTAAAAGTCTTTGACAAGCTCAAGCCTTTTTTATACCAACAGATTTTTAAGTATCCTCCAACAAGATGGAAATAAGTGGTTGCTCTAACAATAATTACTTTGAATTTTTCAAATACCAAATAACACATAGCACTAATATTCATTATTTTAATTGGAAAATAAACAATATAGAAAATAATATAAATTAACTGCTTTAGTGGTACTATCAGTCACATTTAACGTTTTGATAATTGTGGGTTTTGGTTTACAAAAGAATATATAACAAACATAATCACCCTCCTTTAAAAAAAAATAGAACTAGAGAACTGGTTATGGTGACATAAACCTTTAATCCCAGGTCATTTGAGGCAGAGACAGGCAAATCTTGTGAGTTCCAGGTCAACCAGGGCTACATAGTGAGACTATGTCTCAAAGTAAGTAAATAAATAAAATTAAGACATAGACACACACAAAATTAAAAATAGTACTATCAAGATGACTGAGCAGGTTAAGGCACTGTTTTGTTTTTAGAGATAGGTTTTCTCTGTGTAATAGCCCTGATATCCTGGCACTCTCTTTGTAGACCAGGCTGACCTCAAACTCAGAGATCCACCTGCCCCTATCCCTGAGTGCTGAGATTCAAGGTGTGCATCACCACACCCGGCTCTAAGGCACTTTTTAAAAATAGTTATTTAGGGGCTGGAGAGATGGCTCAGAGGCTAAGAAAATTGACTGCTGTTCCAGAGGTCCTGAGTTCAATTCCTAGCAACCACATGATGGCTCACACCCATTTATGGTGAGATCTGGTGCCCAGAACACTATATACATAATAAATAAATTAAAAAAAAACAAAAAAAGTTATTTAGTAGGCATTGATGGAAATGATGCATCTAATTAATTGTTCCCCTATGGATGAATTCTTGCCTTATCAATGTGGCCTTTAAATATATTTTTAAATTCCTTCAGGTGGATATGGACAAGAGTGGTGAAGTTCGGCTTATAGAACTGGACTCATCTTTCAAAAGTGAACATACTGTCTTTGTGACACCACCCGAGATCCCCCATCTACCCAATGGTGAAGAGCCCCCATTACAGTACAGGTATTCAATAACACAGTGTATGAGAATGACAGAGGAGCAGTCCATCGACTGTGACATAGGATTCTAAGGACTGTGGTATTTTCAAATATACAAACTTAACAGATAGGCAAGCCCATCCCCCATCCGTTATTAAGTTTTGCAGCACAGACAGAAAAAATAAAACTTTTTATAAGCTTGGATAGTATTTAAGTATCCCTATCAATACCGCTTAAATTAGTAGATCAGACAGTACTCACATGTAGCACTTTTATTATTTTTTATTTTTACTTTGTACTAAAAGCAATTTTCTCGTTCCTACCCCTTCTTTATTGCCACATACACATTGGTTAATATAACTGATGTACAAGGATTATAAATTATTAAGATAATAATTATTAAAATTATAAATGTAATTCACGTCCATTATTTGTTCCCTTAGTTTGTATGATACAAATTTTAAACTATTCATTTTTGGTGAATTTTAATTTAAGACATGAAATTTCTTAATTGACATTAAGAATTAAATTGTTGATTTAATTAACATTAAATTGTTGACATTTACCATTGTTAATTTAGAAATTTTGTAAGAGACTGCTGAGAGGTTGATATAGACTTAAGTGATGCGTTATCTCTGCATTCAAGTCTAGTGGGGAAGAAAGAAAAGTCATGAGCACAGCAAAACAAGAGCTGTGAGGGAGGTAGATTTGTTATTTTAAGTACTATATACATTTACTTTTTACCTAAAATTGTATTTCCTTTTATATTTTAATTTTGGCTTCAACAAATAATTCTGTGTTTATAAAAATAATATTAATAAAATATAGCAGAATTATTTGTTGAATATATCTTATCTGATAGAGAAATAGTTAAGTTCTAAGTTAATAAGTTATTTGGTCATAGTTCGTCTAGCTAGTAGCAATCTGTCTGTGGTGAAAAGCAATTTCTTCTTCTCTGAAACAGCTATAATGGATTTCCAGTTCTCAGAAACAATTTATTTGAGAGGCCTGAAGGATTTCTACAAGCAAGAAAGAACAAGCTGCCTTCAAAACCCAGCAGTCCTAGTAGCCCTTCTCCCATGTTCAGAAGAACAAAGCAGGTGCTTTAAAAACCGTGTTCCTCGTGTATTCAAGTAGACAGGGAGTAACCTGATGCCCATCCTCCCTTGATAATCTTTACTACCCAGACATAACCCTCAGCAGATGACAAGGCGCTTTATACACTTGGAATATAGTTCATAGTAATCTGACCTAAAACTTTATTTTTATATATGATACAAATTCAAGAGGAGACTTTAAAATATATTATTTATAGTCAAGTTTTACAAAGGCATGTGACTTTCTGTGATCACTATTCATTTAAATAAGGATCCTACTTGGATTTCTTTCTAGGAAATCAAATCAGCCCATAAGATTGCGAAGAGGTATTCTTCTATCCCTCAGATGTGGTCTAGGTGTCTGCTGCGTCACTGTTACGGATTGTGGTTTATTTGTCTCCCAGCTTATGTGAAGGTTTGTCATTCCAAAGTCAGGGCTCTGAAAACAGCGTATGATGTGCTTAAAAAAATGCAGCTGAAGAAGATGGATCCACCCGATGAGGTGATAACATGTGTCCCCAAATGTGTTGTTTTATTTTAGATGTCTATGCATAAGAGTGTTTCTGTACATCTCTCAACTTGTGTTGCAGGTGTGCTACCGAATTCTCATGCAGCTCTGTGGACAGTATGACCAGCCCGTGCTTGCAGTTCGAGTGCTTTTTGAAATGCAGAAAGCTGGTATTGACCCCAATGCAATCACTTATGGGTATTACAATAAGGTAATTATTTTGGTTTAGTGGGGAACAGTACTGTTTTTTCATTGCACAACATTAATTTAGTGCCAAAAATAATTAGGGGCTATTTGGTATTTGTAAAACCAAAAAAAAAAAAAAAAGAATATTCAGAAGATACTTCATAAATTAAGACATTTTTGTTTTCTATCCTTTAAATTTACTTTTGTCTTCTTTAGCTTGACTCAGAAGCCAGTGAATGTTGAATTCTAAAAACTGTTTTACTAATTATATTTTTTTAAATGAATAGGCTGTTTTGGAAAGTACATGGCCTTCAAGAAGTCGCAGTGGCTATTTTCTTTGGACAAAAGTAAGAAATGTTGTTTTAGGAGTCGCACAGTTCAAAAGAGCTTTGAAGAAACATCCACACTTACCACAGAGAGCTCTCTCGGGTAATTAAAGGGTGATAAAGTATGCACAGGGTTTGCTTTCGGTCATAACTTATAACTTAATTGGTTATAGTTTATATTTTTAGAGAATTTTAAGTGCTTTAAAATGCTGATTATTTTCTGGGTTCTGCTGCCAGTTAGGAAACTTTATTAAAAGTACTGTTAATGGGGCTGGAGAGTTGGCTCAGTGGTTAAGAGCATTGCCTGCTCTTCCAAAGGTCCGGAGTTCAATTCCCAGCAACCACATGGTGGCTCACAACCATCTGTAGGGAGGTCTGGTGCCCTCTTCTGGCCTTCAGACATACAGACAGAATATTGTATACATAATAAATAAATAAAAAAAAAATCTGAATAGACTTAAAAAAAAAAAGTACTGTTAATGCACAGAAGTGTTCTGGATCCGGGTTGTGTTAGAGCTGCAGTGTTTGCTAATGTGTAATGAGCTACAATGGGAGGGGAGTCAAACCATTCCTGCTCCATGTAGAAACTTACACACAGTCTTGTGTTCATTTCATGTAGTGTCTGTGATGTGCCTCTGACTTAATATGACCTATCACATGAGGTCAGCTGTGGAATTTTCCACTTGTGGTGTCATGTTGGTACATAAAAAGTTTTAGGTTTCAGGTTTTCAGATTAAAGAAATCCTCCCTGTATTAGACAACTCTTCCCATTTTAGGAAACACCAGATTCTTCTTTCTCCAGTTGTTAAATTGTCCAACTTTAGTGGTCATTAGAAGCTCACAGTAGATGCTCTGTTGTAGTTTATTTTGCTGCGTGTGGCACTTTTCATGTTGGCTCCATAGCAGATTATTATCTTTAACACAAACTCTGAAGAGTCACTTTGGTACCTCTTTGAGAGGTAAAATGCTATCGAACTGGGTTCTTAAGCGGATGACAGTGACCTAAAGCTGTTAGTCATGGTAGCACGGAGAGTGGTGATACAACACACATGTGGAGCAGGCGCCTTTCAATACGGGACCAGTCTGTTCTGCTTCTCTATACATATATTATAGTACATTTTAAAAACTAGGTTTGCTAGTTTATGTTTTTAGTTTGTTTTCAATGACATATTTAACTGTCACTTTTTGATTTTTCTATTAGGCACTTGACACTAAATTTAATTGCTATATGTTGCTCTCTTCATTTTTCATTTGAGAGGTTGCAAAGTACTCAGTTCAAGTATTTAGTGCATGATAATCCAGTTAACTCTAGGTAGCTACAAAATTCTTCACCATTTTAGATATGCCTCTTTTTTTTTAAATATTTATTTATTAATTATGTATACAATATTCTGTCTGTGTGTATGCTTGCAGGCCAGAAGAGGGCACCAGACCTCTTTACAGATGGTTGTGAGCCACCATGTGGTTGCTGGGAATTGAACTCAGGACCTTTGGAAGAACAGGCAATGCTCTTAACCTCTGAGCCATCTCTCCAGCCCTGAGATGCCTCTTTTTTTAAGGCAAGCATCAAATCCATATATCCTGGGCAAGGGCTCTACTAGTGAGCTGTACTCACAGCCTCTTGCCTTGCTATTTTCTTGGACATATTTTCTTTTTAAGAAATCCTGGCCAGGCGGTGGTGGCGCACGCCTTTAATCCCAGCACTCAGGAGGCAGAGGCAGGTGGATCTCTGTGAGTTCGAGACCAGCCTAATCTACAAGATCTAGTTCTAGGACAGGCTCCAAAGCTACAGAGAAGCCCTGTCTCAAAAAGAAAAAAAAAATTCTGGGCTGGAGAGGTGGCTCAGAGGTTAAGAGCACTGACTGTTCTTCCAAAGGTCCTGAGTTCAATTCCCAGCAACCACATGGTGGCTCACAACCATCTGTACGGAGATCTGGTGCCCTGCTCTGGCGTGCGGGCATACATCGAGGCAGAATGTTGTATACATAATAAATAAATCTTTAAAAAAAAAAAAAGAAAAGAAAAAAAATTCTGTGTTTCTGAGTTAACAGTATTATACTAGTATCAGTTTCCTCATTTTAACATTGTGCTATGTCATGTAGGGAATGGTTAGGAGAAACCAGCAAAGGGCCCCACCAAGAACTTTCTGTAAAATTTTTTGCAAGTTTTGAATCAAACTTTTTGTTTTATTTTGTTTTTCAAGACAGTTTCTCTATGTAACTCTGGCAGTCAGAGAACTCATTGTGTAGATCAAGCTGGCCTCAAATTCACGGAGATCCATTTACTTCTGCCTCCTGAGTGCTGGGATTAGAGGTGTGTACTACCACCACCTAGCTAATCAAACTTTTTTTAAAAAGTTTAAATTTAAATGCAGAAGTCCTAGCAGTGACTATGACATTACTTTCATTAAAATATAGGACTTGTGCATAAAGGCAGGCCCTGTGGTTCTGAGTGAAGATGACAACCCGACTTCCATCCCCAGCATCCACGTGGAAAACTTAGTCCTGCAAGTTGTCCTCTGACCTCCACTTGCCTGGAGGTCCACGAATGCACACACACACACACACACACACACAACACAAATAAATCATTTTACATAAGCAGTAAAGCATTAGTATAAAACACGCTAAATTACTTGTGTAATTCTGACTTTTCATTATTTAAAAAATCCACATGACTTTTACTATAGTATGAACATGAGCTTCTAATGGGCATAAACTTCAAAAAAATTATAAAATTTGAAGGATGCTGTTTCTGCAGATGGCAACATTATTTCAGACTCTTTCATTTTATGCCAATATTAAGACTAATAAATATAAGCTGATTGTGCCAAAATGTAGCGCAGTGATCCCTCCAGAGCTGGTTTTGTTCTTGATCACGCACTGTGAATTTAATCAGTTGTGGAAGTTGTCCTTGGGCCCAGTTTCTTAAAAATGTAGAGATCTTCTGTTTGGTTTAGTGCGCTTTTCCTAAAAGACTGGCCCAGAGTAGTGTGGAATCTAACAAAAATATCTTTAAATTTTCCTATTTGTGATTTCTTTGGGATTAAGTCCTTAAAGTTTCATTAGGCAAAACAAATTCATATTAATAACAAAGACATGGTAGTAAGTGCTTAGTGATATTCAATATAACCTCTTTAGAATTCTTTACAAGTTTAAAACGTTTTAGTCTGATAAACATAGGTTTATGTTTTATAACTCTGAGAATTGGATGTTCATACAAAAACTTACTTAAAATCTCAGAACTCTGGCTTTGATGCTAATCTAATGGGAACAGTTTAGTAAGAATGTCAAAGAGAATCTGTTTGACAAAACAAGATATTAAAGATTTTCTGCTCCTCCTCCTTTTCTTCTTCCTCTTCCTCTTCTTCTTCTTCTTTTTGACAGGGTTTATCTGTATGGACTTGGCTGTCATGGGACTTAGTCTGTAGACCAGGCTGGCATTGAACTCAGAGATCCACCTGCTTCTGCTTCTCAAGTGCTGGGATTAAAGATGTGTGCTACCAACACCTGGCTTCTGCTTTCCTTAAGAATAAGTTTTTGTTTTGGTGGGAGTTTGAGGGGAGTTGTTTGTTTTTGAGACAGGGTCTCTACAGAACCCTGACTTTCCTGGAACTCACTATGATACCAGGGTGCCTGCCTCCTGAGTGCTGAGTTTAAAGGCATGTGCCACCAAGTCTGGCATCCTGAGTAATTTTAACACATTGTTTTTTTCCTCATTCCTATATATTTGTACTTAGCTACAGTTCTATAATTATTCAGTTGAGTTTTGAGAAAAATTACCTTTCAATGAAGTTAGAGGAACCCAACTCTGTGGCAAGAGCCATTAGACATTGAGTTTCAGTGACCTACGTGTGCATGTTTGCAAAGCTCTCTTCTCCACTGCTTAAATTACCACTCAGACCAGACATGGTGCACATACATTTACCCCCCAGCACTCAGAAGGCAGAGGCAGGTAGATCTGTTCAAGGGCTGTCTGGTCTACATAGTAAGTTCCAGACCAGTCAGGACTACTTGAGACCCTAACCTTAAAAAGATGACTCAGGCCAGGCGGTGGTGGCACACCGGTTTAATCCCAGCCCTCAGGAGGCAGAGGCAGGTGGATCTCTGTGAGTTCGAGGTCAGCCTGATCTACAGAGCATGTTCTCCAAAGCTACAGAGAAACTGTCTCCAAAAACAAACAAACAAACAAAAGACGACTTAGAATTTTATCTAGAAATATGGTGGACTGGAGTGAAGATTAACTAGTTTGTCTGGTTTGGGTACCCACAAAGTAATATAAATGTAAATATTTATTTGACTATAATGTGAAACCAAAAGTAAATTATTTAGAAATTTTCCTTTCTTACATTAATGGAGGTGGGTGCTTGGTAGCTAACCAAATAAGGAAATCCAAACACTAATGTGTGGTAGGCACCTCATTCTAGTTGGTTTTACCAAAGAAACTTGTGATAGGTGTTGTGGAGATTGGCCAGCAGGCCTCTCAATGTAAGTTGGTGCTCCATCCATGGGATGTCGCCACTCACCTGTACAGTATGCTGTCACAGTCCCCACCTCATCTCCCCACCCCGTCCCACCCTCGGCGGGCAACATTAAGTCCCCTATTGGGGTCTGTTATTCAAGACAGTAGCCAGAAGCCATCTAGAATGGACATCTTGTCCATTCAAGGTGTTATGTTGACCTAGGGACTTTTACAGTTGACCAGTTTTCTGTCTGATCATTAAATTTGTTTAGGATATAATCTCAAAGTTTATGATAAGTAGCATAGTATTTGTTTCTGTTTTTGCTCAGGTGGTCGGTCTGATCTTGGATATAATTCATTATCTAAGGACGGTATTAGAAGAGAGGGTACATCTACTGAAGACATTCAAGGGGAAAAAGACAAAAAAGGGAGTGATTCTAGTTCCTGTAGGTATTGATTGTGAAGTTGATATTGTGTAAAATTGTGAACTTCTTTGCATAAAAATACAAATAACTTTAAGTATTAAAGTACTAGTTTTACTGCCTATCTTCCTGTTCTAATTATCTTTTTTTTTCATTGATCCCTTTTTGCCACCTAATATTTTCACCCATAAACTGTGCAGGAAATGTGCATGCTGCATAACTCATGTTAAAATTCTCATAGTAGAAATGTCTTTTAAAAAGAAATTCTTTTTCTGAGAATTACTACTACCTGCCTTAGTTAGGTCTGCTGTTGCTGTGATGAAACACCATGACCAAAAGCTGCTTGGGGAGAATATTTGACTTACATTTCCCAGACATAGTTCATTGAGGGAAGCCAAGAGAGAAACTCAAACTGGGTGGGAACCTGGAGGCAGGAGTGATATGGAGGCCGCGTAAAAGTGCTGCTCACTGCCTTGTTCCTCATGACTTCTCAGGCTGGTTTCTTACAGAACCCAGGCCACCAACCCAGGGACGCCCCCACCCATAATAGGCTGGACTATTCTTCATCTATTACTAATTAAGAAAATGCCCTACAGGCTTACCTACAGCTGATCTCATGGAGACATTTTTCTCAGTTGAGGCTCCCTCTGAAGGCTCTAGCTTGTGTCAAATTAACACAAAACTAGCTACCACGTGCCTTTAATCCCAGCACTCTCCGGAGGCAGAGGCAGGGCGGATCTCTGTGAGTTCAAGGCCAGCCTAGTCTACAAGAGCTAGTGCCAGGACAGGCTCCAAAGCTACAGAGAAACCTTGTCTCAAAAAGAAAAAGCAACTAGCCAGCACAATACTAATAGGTTTTCTGTGCCGCCCCCTCCCCCACCATAATAGGTTTCTCTGACAATGCAATAAGCCAGATCAAGCCAAATTGAAAAAGTATAAGAACAGTTTTATTTGAGCAAAGCAACTCTCAGGTGGATTCTCCAGTCCCAGAGGTGGAGGCAGGAGAAGCTGCACATCTGGACTAACTCGGGAGATTATATAGCCTGTAGGCGAGGGGTGATGAAGTGTCCACTACAAGCTGGGTTTGTGCCCAAGTGTGGTCAAAATCTGACTGCTTTAGGTGGGGACTTGGATGGCTGGCAACTTCAGGGGAGGAGCTGCCCAGAATTCAGAACTGGGCTTTTTGGCATCTTTCCTTTGTTTTGAGCCTCTCTGAGTGGGTGGGGTTTGGAGAGAGACAGGAATGGGGCTTCCAGATCATACAGGGGCGAGTTGGAGATTCCAACTAGACAAATACCTTTAAAGTCTGTTGGTGAATTGTGATTTATATGTCCTTTTTTTCCCTTCCCAATCCAAAATCTGTCCTTTACAACCAAAGAGAAAATATGAAATTCTCTATGAGCCTTATATATGACCAGTTCTTAGTCATTAGACCCACACTTGATGACTTTTAAATGAAATGATTTGTGGTTGGCAAATGTGTAGAGAAGCAGTTAGTATATTCTTATCACCAGTTTTCATTTTGAAATATGTAAGACTAAAGGCTTCTCTTCATACATTCTGCAACATATGTTTAATTTTGCTAACATTTTTATTTTTGTCTTTACAGTGTCAGAGAATGAGAGTACAAAAGGAAGTGCTGATTGCCTTCCTACTCTCAGTTACCGAAGTTCTTCAACTATAGTTCGCCTCAGTGGTGCAGATAACAACAGTGCTGATAAAATGGCTGGAGAATCTGAGGGTAAGTTGAATAGTACACATTGGCTACGTGTAGATGATTATATCCGTATCTACTAAATATATATATTTTAAATGTTGTAAAGTCATGTTTTATTTTATTTTGCATATATACTACAGCAATGTGTATAGGTCAGGAAACAACTTGTGGAAGACTGTTCTCTGTACCTTCTGAGTCCCTGGGATTGAACTCAGGTAGTCAGATTTGATGGCAGATATTCTTACTCACTGAGCCACCTCACTGGTCTCAGNCCTCAAACTCAGAGAGATCCACCTGCCTCTGCTTCCCAAGTGTTAGGATTAAAGGCGTGTGCCACCACCGCCCAGCTGTTTTTAATATCTTTTTTTAAAATATTTATTTATTTATTATGTATACAATATTCTGTCTGTGTATGTATGTCTGCAGGCCAGAAGAGGGCACCAGACCTCATTCCAGATGGTTGTGAGCCACATGTGGTTGCTGGGAATTGAACTCAGGACCTTTGGAAGAGCAGGCAATGCTCTTAACCATTGAGCCATCTCTCTAGCCCCCTTTTTTAAATATCTTAATGCACTAGAATTATCTATTAGAATATATTTGGATGCCCTCTCCTAGTAAACTTAGGACCTTAGGTTTTGTGTTTTATAATGTCTTTGTTCAAACCTTTATTATAACAAGGAATAAGGGCACACCTGTAGTCTCAGTGCTGCCCTTTGAGTTTGTACTATTAGGACTTTCAGAAGGAATGGTAAAATACAAATGGAGGAATAGTGAATCCGAGAGGACCACACACCTAGCTTATTTCTAAATGAATCATATACTTTATAGTCTAATGTAGCTTGTGACTATTTAGAAACAAAATAGATAGTCTTTCAGATAGTTTAAGAAACTAATACCCATGGCCCTGGTGGCACACGCCTTTAATCCTAACTCTTGGGAGACTGGAGCAGGTCTACTTAGCGTGCTTCAGACAGCCCAGGCTACTTGATGAGACAGTGTCTCAAAAAAAGAAAGAAAGAAAGAGAGAGAGAGAGAGAGAGAGAGAGAGAGAAGAGGAGAGGAGAGGAGAGGAGAGGAGAGGAGAGGAGAGGAGAGGAGAGGAGAGGAGAGGAAAGGAAAAGAAATAAAAGAAAAGAAAACCAAAAATTAGTGTTTTTCTTCTTAAAATATTTTCATATTTGCAATACACTAAATACACTAATCACTGATTTAAAACAAAGGTAAAATTTCTTAATCTACATGTATAGTCAAAAAAGGATTTGGAGTTTTAAAAATAATTTTTACTTGTAGATAAAATTAATATAGTTACCATAGGTTTGGTTTGATGTTTGGGGGCTTGTTTTGCATTTTAATAAAAAGATGGCTTAGATTTTCACGTTCATCCAGCATCACTACAATTGTACAGCTGTAACTTAACTTAGTGTAAATTTATTTCTGTTAAAATGTAAATTGGTAAGTTTTTTTTAAGCAGTACATTCTAATGGCTAGAAGCATAACCTTTCTCATTAGACAAATCTGAATTTGAATTGAGTTCTGTTACTTAAGAACTTGTCTAAATAGTTTATCTCTCTGCACGTCTGTTTTATCTGCTCTGAATGTTGGAATGTTTATAGCAACAATGGCCGTAAACTGCCTAAAGTGGGGCCTGCTGAGTACCAGGCAGCCAGTGAGCACTTGCTGTTATCATCCCATTACTATTATTTTAATATTTAGGATGACATATTTGCACGGTACATTTTCATGACTGAAAACAAATTTCTTGTTTTTCAGAAAGTACACCTGAGCTGCTCTTAATGCCGTCTCCTGAGAATACAAATGAAACACAAACCATGCAAAGTAGATGCTTCAGGAGAAGACATAAAAGTGATGATGAATCTCATTTGCAGCAGCAAACAGCCTGGGGAAATAGGAACCGTAATCTTAGTGGTGGGGTTCTGATGGGATTTATGCTGAATAGAATTAACCGGGAAACAAACCCTGGAGATATGGTTGAAAAATTAGGAGCTGATGCAAAAATTCTTTCAAATGTTATCTCAAAAAGCACAAGACCAAATAGTCTTGATATAGGAAAGCCACCTGTAAAATCAAAAAGAGACAGCCTAGAAAAGGAATCTAGTGATGATGACACGCCTTTTGATGTCTCTAACTGCTTGGATAAAGTGGATTCTCCTGTTATTTTTGACTTAGAAGATTTAGACACTGAAGCAGATGGATCGAAAGTGGGATGTGTCGCTACACAAAATCCCAAGAGGCTCCAACGTATGAACAGCAGCTTTTCAGTAAAACCTTCTGAAAAAACAGATGTTGTAACAGGATTTGACCCCCTCTCTCTCTTGGTTGCTGAGACTGAACAGCAGCAGAAGGTGGAAGAAGAAGAGGATGAAGATGATAGCAAAAGCATTTCAACACCATCTGCTAGGCGCAATTTAGCTGAAGAAATTGAGATGTATATGAATAACATGAACAGTCCTTTGACAAGCCGAACACCAAGCATTGATTTACAACGAGCATGTGATGATAAGTTAGCTAATAAGAAAAGTCCAACATTGGTCAAGGCCTGCAGAAGATCAAGCCTCCCTCCAAATTCTCCTAGGCCAGTGAGACTTACCAAATCTAAGAGTTATACCAAAAGTGAGGAGAGACCAAGGGATCGACTGTGGTCTTCACCAGCCTTCTCACCCACTTGTCCATTTAGGGAAGGATCTCAAGAAACACTAGCCCATTCATCACCTTCATTTAATTTAGATACACTGCTGGTACCCAAACTAGATGTTCTAAGGCACAGTGTGTTCTCTGCGGGGAAAGGAGTTGCAGAGAAAGCAAGCAAATGGTACTCAAGGTTCACCACGTATACCACATCATCAAAGGTAGGTTTGTTGGTATTTACTGCTTTTCTTTTCTTAAGCTGCCTCTACCATTACCATTACTGAAAACTTATTTATTAAGATTTATTTTAATTAACATGCTTGTGTATGTGCCTGTGTGAGTTCATGTGAACCATCTATGTGCAAGTGTCTGCAGAGTCTAGGAGAGGGTATAGGAGTCCTAGAAACTGTAGTTGTGAGCTGCCATGTAGATGCTGGAACCAAACCCAGGTCCTCTGCAAGAGCAGTAAGTATTGTTAAACACTGAGTCATATCTCTAGTCCCAAGACGTTGTTGTTGTTGTTTTCAACATGGAACATTTTCCTGTTACATGAAAGATCTAAATTTCAGTATTTCCTTCAGAATGTACCTTTTTCTTAGTGTCCAATATGTTTCTAACCAGGCCTATGCTATCTCTTCCTGATTAGGATGAAGTAACTTGTGTTTCTCCCAAGAGCAAAAATGTAGATGAAGTATAGAAAGCATGTGTTTATAATCATCAGAGAACTGTCACAATTAGAGAACAGAAAGGCAAGATTCTAGAAAGAGAATTACAGGAAGGAACTAAAGCAATAGTCATTTCTCCCAGAAGGCTTTTTTTTTTTAACTAATTGTGAGCATCAAGCATAAAGTTTCCATCTTTAAGAGGAGAGGGGAGAAATGAGGAGAGAAAGGGGACACAAAATTTAAAACTTGAGGGCTTCAAGTACCCAGAAAGTTTTGTCACCTGACCAGTGCTGCCACTTGACCCATGCCATTCAGGGTCCACTTAGGCCTGTTATGTTCAGTTTATCCAGTGGGGTAGTCACATCTCTCACCATAAGGTGTGGCACAAGAGGTTCAGCAACAAAGCTCTTCACATGATCCTCTGTCTCCATCTTGTGTCTAACAGTATTAGAGAAAGGCATGTCTTCTGGGTCTCTCCATCATCATGTATTAGGTTTTAAACAGGAAGTCCATTCTGGCACTCCAATTTTATTCAGCCTTAAAATCCCTTCACCAATACTAAGCCAAAGGATATCAGGGATCTCCCATTCCTTCTAAACAGGCCATCTTTTGACAAATTCTTTAGCCAATCATTCAAACTCTCAGCACCTTTCTTAACTGTTCAAGCTTTCATACTAAACCTAGAGTCTCTAATCAATGGGTCCCTACTGATAAACTCAGCCTAATCCTGTTTTTAGGTTCTTTCCATTATCCCACACACTTAAAGTTCAATCCAAGCATTCCCCAGACTTCTACTTGAATGACTTATTTCTTCAGTGATATAGCTTACTTCTTTCTGGACCACACTTTTCATCTCACTTCAGGAGCCTGCTTAAACTTGTGTCTAGTTACATCTAGAGGCAACAGCTGGTATGCATTGGAATTGTCTTGCCTGGCATCTCCTTCAGGGAAAGTCATTGTGGGTTCTAAAGACAATGTAGGATTGGTTCCCTTAGGCAAGGTTGGAGAGGGCAATACTGCAAGGAGTGAGGAAGCACATTTTCCAAATACTTATGTTCCGTAAGACAGGTAAACAGCCTCTGAAAAAGAGTTCCTTGGAGTTCCATGGTGAGAAGAGCTATGAGCTGCCAGAAGGGAGGACTTTGTTGGACAGGTCCCTCAATGTTGATGGGCATATGCCTACAGCTGAGGAGTAAGCTCAGTGGCAGAACTCTTGCCTAACATGCACGAGCCTCTAAACCCAATCCCCAAAGCCATATAATACATTTGTTTTGCATAAAACAGGCCAAGTGCCCTGTCATATTGTAGAACTCTTTTAGTTATTGAATCTACTTGTTGATAAATCTGGGCACTTTCCTGGTGTGTCAGTTGGCATTATAGGTAGCCATGTTGTCCCCTTTACCAGGGAGTTTTCTTTTCACTTAGCATTTCATCCTGTTGAGGGGAATGAAGGACAATATACTCTCAAAATTGTGGAACTGGTTTTTCTCTTGCAAACCTCAGGATTAGCAGTGGTAAAACCATGGCCAAAAGCAACTTAAAGAGGAAAGAGTTAACTTTATTTGACTTACATATTGCAATTACAATTCATCTTTAAGGGAAGTCTGGACAAAAACTAAAGTAAGAACAGAGGCAGAAACTGTGAAGGAAAACTTCTTACTAGCTTATTTCTCGGGAGTTGCTCAGCCTGCTCTCTCCGTTCAACTCAGGTCTGCCTGCCCTGGGCTGTACCATCCACAGTGGGCTGGGCCCTCAAACATCATTAGTCAAAAGAATGCCCACAGATTCACCTCCAGGCTAGATTGTTGGAGGAATTTCCAAAATTGAGGTACCTCTGCCCAGATGACTCTTGTTTGTGTAGTTGGAAACACACACACACACCTAACAATCACAAAGACCCTGTCTCAAAACAAATGCAGCATAACAACAAAACAAGCAAACTCCCATATCAGGTGTCTCACAACTGTCTGTAACTCGAGCTTCAGGTGGGGTTTGACACTTTTGGCCTCTTCAGGAACCGGCACTCATGTATACATGCCATACATGTATTTTAAAAAAATTAAGGTTCTTGACCACCTGTGGTTGTCCTCTAGCCATTATATATACTTATCCAAAACTACATATTTTTCAAAACTTCAGATAATAGTCTGCATCCACTGGGGTTAACATGAGGCCATTTCTGCCTTCCCTGCCTCCCCTTACTGATTAAAAAACTCCAAATAAAATATAAAAACAACTAAAGAGTCTACAAAGAAATAAGAATTAATGGAGTTGGAGGAAGAACCTCCAAAGAGATGAGTTTCCTGTTTTTCTTCCCATGCCTTCTTGCCCCAAGGGCAGTCACATTGGGCCATAGTAGCTCTGAAACCTAAAATCACAGGAGAACCCATATTTTATGCACAAAAAAAAAATCAGGAAAGAAGGCCTCTGTGGACTCTAGAGTTTGAAGGGAGACCCATCCAAGTCTCAGCTTAACCCTTGATTTACACATGATAGATGCAGACTAACAAAAAAGACTAAAACTCCACCTGAAAAAAAGCAAAACACAAAGAACACAGCCTAAATATAATTTAGTATTGGCTAGTAAAACAAAAGCATACACATTCCCCAAAATATTATAACAATCCCCTTGCTATGCAAAGTCAATATTCACAATAGCCAAGATGAATGATGATGATGATGATAATAATAATAACACAGATGGGCATGACGGCATGTGCCTATAATCCCAGCACTTGGGATACAGAGTCAGAGGAATCTGGTTCTCAGCTACATCACACAGTGAATTCAGTGCTAGCCTGGACTATGGGAGACTTTCTCTCAAAAATGATGACGTAAAGGACCAAAAGGCCAGACACAGTAGTGCACACCTTTTAGTTCCAGTGACCAGGAGTCTGAGGAAGAATTATCGATAGGCTTAGGCTAAGGGAAGTTGTCCTCTGACCTCCACGGAAACCATTTCTATACATATCATAAGCAAACTACTAACAACCAAAGCCCACTATATAAGAAAACAACTGAAGTTATATAGGTGAACCCTGGAGAGAGAGAGAGAGAGAGAGAGAGAGAGAGAGAGAGAGAGAGAGAGAGAGAGAGACAGACAAAACAGTGATAAAGTGCTTGCTTATCATTAAATAAACTTATCTTGAAGTAAACTCAAAAACAGAATGCAGATAACAGCAAAAAAAAAAAAAGGACTATAAAAAATGTGTGAATCATGGGACTGGAGAGACGCCTTAGCAGATAAGACTTGCTACTCTTGCAAAAGATCTGGTAGTTTGCAACTGTCTAAAACTCCAGTCCCAAAGGACCCAGTGCCCTTTTGACCTCTGTAAGTACTATGTACACATGGCATATATACAAACATGCAAGCAAAGCATACATAAACTAAAATATCAGTCAGTCTTATTTAAAAGTTCACAGAGCTTTGGGCTGGAGAGATGGCTCAGAGGTTAAGAGCACTGACTGCTCTTCCAGGGGTCCTAAATTCAATTCCCAGCAACCACGTGGTGGCTCACAACCATCTATGATGAAATCTGATGCCCTCTTCTGGTGTACAGGCATACATGCAGAGAGAATGCTATATGCATAATAAATAAATCTTTTTAAAAGGTGCACAGAACCTTAGAGACTTGTTGGAGAATATGAAAGCTGTAAATAGGATAGGTATAGTTGTTATTTCAAAAAGGATTGAGGAAAGTGATAATTGCAGAAAAGATACTTGAATTAGTAATATTGTTGCTTATCAAATTTGGAAAAAGATACAAATTTACAGACATGAGACAACACACTACAAAAGGAGAGATTTAAAACCACATCTAGGTCCAGTGAGATCTCTCACTGCCAGTGAAAGCACTTGCACAAGCCTAGTAACTGAGGTCGGTTCCCAGACCCCATATAAAGGTAGAAGAAAGAACTGATAACACAGTTACTCTCTGACTCCACACATGTGCTGTGCTACAGACCTCCAAAATAGTAATAGATAATTTTTTAAAATACATCTGTACTTATCATAAGCCAGTGCTAACAACCAAACCATCTATAAGAAAACAAGTCAATTTTTTAATTCTTAAAAGATATTAAAGAAAAATTACTAAAGGAATAAAGATCTGAATGGCCATGTGGCTTTGTCATAAAATCACAAAGGGAAGAATTCAGTAAGAAAACATCTTTAACATGTTGAAAGAAAAGACATGCAATACAGGGTCTCCAGCCAGTGAAAATACTCTTCAAATGTTAAGGTAAAATAAGGGCACTCACAGAGAAGGGAAAGAGTAAACAGAAAACAGGCTTGCTCTTTGAACTGTGCTCAAGGGGGTCCAGGCTAAGGAAAACGTTAGTAAAAAAAAAAAAATGGGTCTTCAGGAAGGTAGGAACAAATTATAAACAGCTGCTTGCACTTACATAAAGACTGCCTTTTGCCCTCCTAAGTTCCTTAAAGCACTTACAATAGCTCAACACAAAAATTGTGACATTGTAGGTGTAGGGTTTTCAATATATGACTTCATGATTTAATTAAGTTGGGGCTGGTGGTCGTATGGCTCAGAAGGTTGAAGCACTTGCTACCAAGCCTAAGGACCTGAGTTCAATCCTTGGGACCTCCATGGTAAAAAGGGGGGATCTAACTCCCTCAGATATCCTCTGACCTCCACACTTCTGCTGTGGTGTGCAAATACTCCCTTCTTCCACAAAAAAATATAAATAAAAAGTGTAATTGAATTTAACTGAGTTTTAAAATCCTAGGAAATTTTCAGAAATTTTTGAAGTCAACCTTTGTGAAATTTATTTTCTGAATGTTATTGCTTATAAATTATATCTCAATAAAATTTCGTTAATGAAAACATACTTTCTGACACAATAGGATCCAACTAAAATTATTAATAAATATGATATCAAAAATTCAAAGTTCTAAGTAATTCATGAATCAAAGATAAAGATCACTAGCCTGGAGAGATGGCTCAATGATTAAGAGCACTCACTGCTCTTAGAGAGGATCTCAGTTCACAGCACCACACTCTGATGCTCTCTTCTGGCCTCCATGAGTGCTGAATGCACATTGTGCACAGGCATATATGCAAGCAAAATAGCCATACACATAGATATAAATAAAATACTTTTAAATAAATGATTTAACAAAAAAAAAGACCAGCTGCAGTAGCTTGTGCTTTTCATTATAGCAGTAGAGAGTCAGAGATCCCTGGGGCTCATTGACCATCTAATCTGGCCGACTTGGCAAGCTTCAGATCAATAAGAGACCCTTTCTCAAAAGTAAGTGGACAGCTGCTGAGGAACAACACTTAAAATGCACACATATGCATACTTAAACACAATGCACACCTTAACACAGTGCAAACACACATATGGAGAAAGATGGTCTCTATTTATCCAGAGTAGTATGCCTTTGTAAAACTGATTGTTTTTCTTGCAGAAGTTGTGATGTTGACCATCTGGGTAGAAGGTGGTAGGTAGTTGTTTCTAGCTAAGAAGTGACTTTTAAATAATTAACTTTAAATGTGAAGGAAATTAAGCTTATAATTATGTTCTTAGGATCAAAGTTCTGATCGTACCAGTCTTTCTTCAGTGGGAGCCCAGGATTCTGAATCTACCTCTTTGACAGATGAAGATGTCTGCCATGAGTTGGAAGGAGCCACTTCTTCCCAAGAAAGCAGTGCCACTTCAGGGGCCAAGGGAATAGATGCCAGCCGCACAAGCCTGGGAAGCTCCGCCTCCTTAGAAGGTTTGCCCAGTTTTTGTCATGCTGCTGGTTTGCAGTCTTTCTTTCTTTGTGATTTAATGTTTTCCTATCTTTAAAGATTTGCGTGGCAAACAAACAAGTAAAAATAGGGAGGAAACAGGTCATTTTCAGAGGTCTGACTTCTGCCCCTATCCCTTCATATTATTTGCTTCTGTTCTAGAAGTAACTGTTTTTCTCACTCTTTGTTTATCTTTTCACTTAAAATGTAAATACAGGTCTTCTTACTCATCTCTACTATTTTGAAACTCACAAAGTAACATTCACTAAGCCACCCATAGTTTCTTCCTCTTACCAGACTATCATGGTGTCCCGAATCATCACTAGTGAATGCTCCCGATCCATTTCACAGTCGCTTAGCTCACCATGTGGCAAAATCAGTTCATTTTAACCACTGCCTACTGCTGAGCATTAAGTTTCAAGTTTGAATAATGCCACGACATATATGTGGCTTTTTTTCACCAATGTATTTCTATGAGATAATTCCCAGTTTGTCCTTGAAGTAATAGTTCCAAGTTCCTTTCACAGATGTGTGTTATTTTGCATTTTCAGTAACTGTATGTTTTCCCATGGTCTTGTCAGTATGACAAAATATGTTGGAGCTGGTGAGATGGCGCAGCAGCTAAAGGTGCAGATGATCTGAGTTGCATCCCCAAAACCGATATGGTGAAAGGAAAATACTGACTCCACAAGTTGTCCTCTGACCTCCACATGTGTATTGCATGTGATCACTTGTGTGCCTGTACACAGATGTACAGAGAGAGAGAGAGAGAGAGAGAGAGAGAGAGAGAGAGAGAGAGAGATTGACTAAGCATGTTGACCAACTTCTTTTTGTGTGTATTTCTGTTTTGAAATTTTTTTTTCTTTTTTTTTTTTTTCAATGAAAAAGACGTTTTCAGCTGGGCAGTGGTGGTGCACACCTTTAATCCCACCGCTCAAGAGGTAGTGGCTTGAGTGAGGTAACCCAGACTCAGAAAGACAATTATCACATGTACTCACTCATAGGTGGTTTTTAAACATAAAGCAAAGAAAGCCAGCCTACAAACCACAATCCCAGACAACAGAGCAAACACTAAGAAAGACTTACATAGATACATGGGAAGTAGAAAGAAGAAAAGGACAAGATCTCCTGAGTAAATTGGGAGCATGGGTACTTTGGGGGAGGATTGAAGGGGAAGGGGAGAGGCAGGAAGGGGAGCAGAGAAAAATGTAGAGCTCAATAAATACCAATAAAAAAAAAGGCAGTGGCATGTGAATCTTAGTTAACTTGATGCCAGACTGACCTGCATAGCCAGTTCTAGGACAGCCAGGGCTGTTAAACAACAACAAAACCTGTCTTGAAAAACAAAAAAGAAAGAAAAGGGAAGGAGGGAAGGAGGGAGGAAGAGACTTTTTCATTATGGATTTGGTTTCTCTAAATTACTTTTGGCATGCTTAGTAGAACAAGTTAGTGTTTTGTCAAAATTTATGGAAGAAGTGATTCTTACATTGCTCCTCCTCAGTTTTCATGGTTTTGCTCTTTATTTTTTTAATCAGGATCCCTATCAAAGTTTGCCTTACCTGGAAAGTCAGAAACTGCATCTTCCCTCAACACCAGTAATACAAATATCTTCCAGAACTATGCAATGGAGGTACTATTTTCCTCACGAGAGCACCTTTGTATAAAATTCACATTTCTTTAATGTTGATGGTCATTAGTGGAGTGATAAAATTTGATATGTCATCTGAAATTTCAGAAAGTGTATTATATCCAAAATTTGTTGTTGTGTTTTTTTTTTTTTGTTTTTTTTTTTTTTTGGTTGGTTGGTTTTTTTGAGACAGGGTTTCTCTATGTAGCCCTGACTATCCTGGAACTCACTTTGTAAACCAGGCTGGTCTCGAACCCAGAGATCTGCTTCTCTGCCTCCCAAGTACATGTGCCACCACTGCCTGGTTGCATCTAAAGTTTTTGATACCTGCTATTTCAAGTCATTGATGTCATGATTGTTTATTAGGACAGTTCCATACTTATTGGAAATTTGTCAACATATAAAAACATTTTTATTTCAACATTTGTATTTATAGCTTACTATACATACATTCTCTTTGAACATTTATTTTGCACCATAAACACAACCAACGTTTTTGGGCAAACAAACGTGAGGTGAGGAAACAGTTTGGCTTTGTTGTCAACTTCCATCATGGTTTTCATTCTTGTCAGTCTCACAAATGAGAAGAAGGAGTTCTCATTTTCTTATAGTGGAAAGTTATTCTTCATACTTTAAAACTTCCTCCAGTTTTTCTGAAAAATATTGCTCCCAAATATTTTGTTAAATATCTTTTCTGTTTCACACTAATTTTACATGAAGAAATTTGGGTTCATTGGAAAATAATGATGAGCACTGATGTGGAGTTTACGTTTCTGTGGCTGCAGGGATTTATGTTTTATGAGCTGAAGCAGCATTACAGCACCACACTGGCTCCATTGTAATGTACAGTATGTGGCTGTACGTGCTGGAATCTTTTGATTAATGTCGGAGTCTTTGTGTGCTTTAATTTTCCAATGGGCTTCTTAACTAAAGTGTGTTTTAATTTGTATATACACAGACCAGTTATTGGCTTAGTAAAATGTTTGTTTCCCTAGGTTCTCATCTCAAGTTGTTCTCGGTGTAGAACTTGTGATTGTCTTGTCCATGATGAGGAAATCATGGCTGGCTGGACAGCAGATGACTCCAATCTCAATACTACATGCCCATTTTGTGGCAATCTTTTCTTACCCTTTCTGAATGTTGAAATCAGAGATTTAAGGCGACCTGGAAGGTAACAGCATGCCCTTTCTCACTTTATGCTTAAGGATATTGTTTCCACATTTTTCAAAATGTCTTTGATTCACATTCTAGATATTTCTTGAAGTCCAGCTCATCTACAGAAACCATGCCCTTTGCATCCTCCTTCTCACATCAGACAAGGCAGCCTTGCATTTCAGCATCAGCCTCTGGTCTCAACACATCTGCTCTCTCTGTTCAAGGGAATTTTGATCTAAATAAGTAAGTTTGACTGTAGAGAACATAACTACATGTGTTATACATACTGTAGACATGGGACAGGAAAAAAAGTTGGCCATTTTAAGGTAAAAGTTTCTGTGAAAAATGTACATTCTGAAATCTCATCACTCAACTGGTAGAGAAAGGAGGATGTTTAGGCATGATCTGGTCTTTATAACAAGACCAGATCCACCTTGGATGGGTGGATGGATGGACAGACAGATAGATGGACGGCAGACAAACAGGCAGAAGGATGGACATATGGAGAGACAGATTTCTATGAAAAGTAAATTCATTATCTTAATCTTTTAAAAAGATTTTATTTATTTGTATTTCATATGTATGGGAGTTTTGCCTACATGTGTCTAAGTGTAGATTTGTGTATACAGTACCTGTGGAGTCCAGAAGAGGACTTTGTGGCCTCTGAAACTGGAATTAGGGATGTTTGTGAACCACCATGTGAATGCTGGGAACTGAACCCAAGTGTTCTACAAAAGCAGTAAATGCTCCAAACGCTCTCTCTCCAGCCCCTTGTTATCTTAAATCCTTATTCCTAATTAAAGTGCTCTAGTGTCATAACTATTTAAGTCTGAATGTTTGTGTGTGAACCTCCAAAGTTAAAGTATTGTTTACCTGTATTTTGCTTTTTTTGTCTGTTTGTTTTGAGACAAGGCCTTGTGTAACTCTGATTGACCTTTAACTTGCTATGCAACTAAGAATGACCTTGAGCTCCTTATCCTCCTGCCTCTACCTCCTAAGTTCTGGAATTAAAGATGTGTGCTGCCATACTCAGCTGTCTTACCAGTATTTAAAGATGAAAAACATCTATAATACACTTGAAGTTTATAGTGACCAGATTTTTCTTCATCTTTTCAGTAATTAATACTTAACTTCTATTTTAGAATATTTAATTTTCTATTTATGAATATTTAGTAGTATAAGAAAACTTAGAGATGATATAGAGCTATAAAATTAAAAGCATATATAGCAATCCAATATAAGTAATCTATATTTAAATACAGAAACTTGGCTCTTTTTTGCAAAGTGCCAGATTGACCATATGTAGCCAAATAAATGAAGCCATGTTGTCATCTACATGTTCAGAGAAAGAAAATGCGTATGTACTACTGGCAAAGCTAAACACAACCCATTTGATTATAAATACTTAGACTGTAAAACACAAAGTCTGCATTCACCTTCTCTGATTGTATATCCCTGTGTTCCACTGTCTCTCTCTGTGACTTCTGAAAGAGTATGTATCCATTTTCTCTACTGTGTATATTCAAGGATTAGTCATGATGCTATGTAAAATCTCACCAAACATTTTGAATAAATGAAATGAATCTTAAATATTAAAAATTTGTTTGATATAAAGGAAATTTGGCTCAATTGCCACCATGTTTAAAATATATCTTATTTCCGAGTTGGTGGCTGAAGAGCACATTTCTTTTATGCTGTCTAGTCCAGCTGTGATTCTAAAAAGAACAGCAGGACTTTTCTAGATAAGATGATATGAAATAAGATGAGGTAAGATAAGAAAGTCTAGGCACTGACAAGATTTTCTTTTTTAAATATCCAAGCAAATCTAAACTGCAGGAAAATACCTGTGCTCGAAGTATTCAGATCCCTGCTCACAGATCAAAAACGGTTGTGTCGAAGTGCCCGCTATTTCCAATGGCCAGAAGCATTAGTACTTGTGGCCCCTTGGATAAGGACGATCCTGGAGGACAGAAGCTCATCCCTACAGGCAGCCTGCCAGCAACTTTACAAGGAGCTACAGTATGTGTTTGAGTGTTTTTCTCTTTTGTAAATTGATCATTTACACAATCTCGTTCCCTTAGTCCCAAAGATCATTCTTAGCTTCAGTTATGTTATTGTCACAAATAGTCCCATCCAAGATAGAGTTCTGTTCACATGGAAATCACAGACATTTAAGTATGTTTTAAATTTAAAATAATAATGTATACTCATTCTTACCTTTGTCATATATGATTTTATTCAACAGGATTCCTTAGGGTTAGAATGGCACCTTCCAAGTCCAGACCCTGTCACTGTCCCATACCTTAGTCCCTTAGTGGTATGGAAGGAACTTGAGAGCTTATTGGAAAATGAAGGTGACCATGCAATAACAGTGGCAGACTTTGTGGACCATCATCCAATTGTCTTTTGGAACTTGGTGTGGTATTTTAGACGTCTCGACTTGCCTAGTAACTTGCCTGGATTGATTCTTTCTTCTGAGCATTGTAACAAGTATTCAAAGGTACGAGAGTTAAGTTTAAAGGCAATGATCATCATACTGCTTGCATATTCCTAATGATACAAAATACGGTTTATTTTTATGTTTGATATTTACACTACCATCTGAATCGTCACATAACAGAACTGTCTTCAGTTGAATTTGCAGACTAGCAGTGATACAGTTGTGGTTTTAGCCTTCTCAAAATAAAACATGACTGAGTTTTGTTATCACTTGAAGAATAATTTGGAAATTACTCCTATAGTGTAAAGGTTTTTTAGCTAGTCCCCCCCCAATACCTCTTTCAAAAATAAGAAAGACCGTCACTTTTCAGGAGGGCGTCTGATTCATATTTGCAAGTATACACTGCCTTCCTCTTTATTCCCTCTCTCTGAATCCCTGAGGATCAAAACCAGAACTTTATTCATGCTAACCAAGGACTGCACTGAGATGCATCTTCTACCATTTTATATTTGCATTTTTGTGTGGTTGTTCTGTTTTATTTTCTCTGTGTATGTGAGCACAGATGCATACTGTGGTCCGAGGACAACCTCAGAAGCTAGCATTTACCTCCCACCTTGTTTTGAAGCAGTGTCTTTTTGTTGCTCTTCTGCTGTGTACTTCAGGCTTGTCAGTCCCCAAGACCCTTGGAATTCTCCAGTTTCCAACTCCCATCCCCTCTTGTGGGCACTGGATTATAGACATTCATTACTGTGTCCAGCTTTTACATGTGTTCTAGTGTTTGGACTCAGGTCCTCATGCTTGTGCACCAGGCACTTAACCCTCTGAGCCATCTGCCCAGCCCTGTTGCTTTATAAAGATGTTTTTACCTTTTCTTGTGATGGACAGCTGAAGTGCAGTCTGTAAGCTCTCTTGTACTTCATGTCTGTGACCTTGCTTATACACTAGGGGTTTTTTCTAGTACGTCATAGATGAGTGACAGATATTTTAATTTATCTATAATTGTCTTGGCTGGGCAAAGGTCTTGAACTGAGAAATAGTCAGTGGAGGGAACAGGCCTGCTAGATTTATTTTTCTGTGGACTTGTGCTGCTTAGAGATCATTAGCCTCTCACCTCAGCAAGTCTTCCTTCAGTGGGTATCAAATGAATAAGTAATTTTCTGTTCTTTTTTCTCCCTTATGTGTGTATCTTTAAATTTTCTATGAGGCTCTGTGCTATTTACTTTTATGTCAATTTGATACAAGCTAGAGCCATTTGGGAAGAGGGAACCTCCATTGACAAAATGCCCCCATCAGATTGGCCTTTGGGCCAGCCCGTGATGCATTTTCTTAATTAGTTGTAGATGTGAGGAGGGTCCAACCCACTGTGGGTGGTGCCATTCCTAGGCAGATGGTCCTGGGTGCTATAAAAAAAAAAAAAAAAACAGGCCAAGAGGCCAGGTGGTGGTGGTGCACACCTTTAATCCCAGTACTCAGGAGGCAGACACAGGCAGATCTTTGTGAGTTCGAGACCAGCCTGGTCTACAAGAGCTAGTTCCAGTACAGGCTCCAAAGCTACAGAGAAACCCTGTCTCGAAAAAAAACCAATATATA